CGGGAACCAATTAATTGGTTTTCCATTATTTCTTATGGGAAAAATTCGATCAGAGCTCGAACTTTTCAGGATTCGATCCGGAGTCCGGAACGGATTAAGTTCGAAAACCGAGGTACCACTGTACTCTAAATAACACTGCCATTAGGGGGTGTAACGATTCTCAAAGTGCATGGTTTGGTTCAGACCTCATTGATTTTTTGTTTGAATTTTTTGAGGGGGAGGGTGGGGGGTGAATAGGAAAAAAAGGGAAAATTCTAGGTTTTATTAATCACCAACAATCTGGAGCACTAAAAAAACCAACACTAAAGAACATGTTAGATTAACTTAACTGCATATGAAATAACTACGTAAACAAAAATTAACTTAAAAAGAAACATATTTGAAGACCAGTTAGACATAAAGTGTTGTCTGCTGGCTGAGCATGTTTTTTGAAACACTTACAACCAATTGTGTGTGTTTTGTGTACGACATGATTGCCATCCCTGTACCGCACTGGATAACCAAAATGTTCCCACACTGCTGACATGATTGTGCCCCGAGGGATCTGCAGTTTCAGGGTTATTATATATCCTGAGCTAATGTAACAAGCCTAGCTTCTACTGCACACGTGATCACTCAATCATGATTGGACCAAAATAGTCACATGACACACACAGTTGGAAGACAATGAAATAGGTGTAATGTATGAAATTTACTAAATATACAGGTTGCGCTAACTTTAAACAGAATTAATAATCTCGTAATTTACATGTGTTAGCGTGTTAAATGTGACATGAAAAAGTGTTTTGTAGCATTAGTAACATAATGAGAGCTCAACAGGCTACACCAGCAGTGGTGGAAGCCGTTTTGGGTTAGGGGTGTGTGTGTGTGTGGGGGGGGGTGTGTCGCAGTTTCATCGGAACCACAACATGATGAGAGCAAGATTGTTTGTATTGTGGTTTTGATTTCAGTTTTAGAACTTTTACACCATTGTCTGCTACAATATGTAATTAACAGCATGGTACTTCTGGTGTACTGATGTAAATTGGATTTGACCAAATTTCATTAAAAGATTCTGAGCATGCCAAAGAAAATAATTTCCACTGTAGAATACACATTTTTCTGGTTACCATCCAGATTAGCTGCAATGAGAGAATGTTTTTCAATGCGCTCACTCATGTCGTAAAATTGTTGCCAGAAGGCCTCCATCCAGCGCTGCATGTCCTCTCGACTTTCTGTGCCAAGCGTATGTGTCACTTCCTCCCCCCCGTAGCGGTTGCTGATGTTGATGCTCTGCCCTTTGCAGTGGACATCCTTCTCTGTGGCGCGAATCTTTGTTTCCTGAGAGACACACGTGCACATACTATTAATCAGTAGTTCAGCACCAACTTTACACAATACACAGCCATTCCCTTATTAAAGTAGCCCAATCCAGCAGGAGAAACAATTTTTCCTTGTAGTCAGATTGGTGTAGAATTATGTGTCTGTTTTGTCTTTGTGTCACTAAGTTCACAGATTTTTTTCTTAACAATCAGTTTTCTTAACAATCAGAAACTACTGTTACTGCATTACATTGCATTACACTTCAAAACCTGCTTTTACCCAAGATGGAAAAACAAGACCAGAAGACCTGGGATTACATATTTCCAGAACTTTCTGGAATGACTTCTCCATTTAAAAAGAGGACAGCTGGTGGGGAGGGGCAGGCAAGAATAGGACACTTTTATACACGGCACTGATTCTGGTAACTTTTGGTCGCAAATATATTAATAGCAGGATTACATCAGTGGAGTTCTTGGTGTAAAATATGAATCAGCAGCATCATATGATTTATTGACACACTGAAATGGCAGTTATCTGCGTCATGAAGCAGATAAGCAGCAAGCAAAATATCACCTTTTACGTCCCCATCCCAAAGCCAAACACACAGAGTGGCAACATATCTGAAAACGCCTCTTATTCTGGAAGTGGAACAGAAAGTGAGATCTTTTGTTGTCTTTACAAAAGGTTCTTATGTGTGTTTCTAACAAATACACTAATTACTACTGTTAGTAGTATTTTACATGATGTTCAAAATATGACATATGTTCATATGTATTTATTCAAACTAATATGCACTATAATGCGTGTACTCATGTGTTCTCTGAATAAATTCTGAATTATGACATAATTTTTAGTTGTATAATTTCCAGCAGCCTTGGTAATGGTGCAATAAAGATTATGCCTCTGATTGCTTATGATAAATTGGAAAACTCAAGCAGGAAGCCCTGAATGAATGAAACCCATGTATGTATCTCCTATTATGCCAACTATGTCCTAATTCACAAAAGTAACAGCAGATGGCAGCACATTCCTTGTAGTCCAATAACTCTAAAGGGTCCCACAGAATAATTTACCTACTGAAAAATAAATAATAACCAGTGATGAAGATAGCATGTGGGTAAGGAACAAATTAAATAATAGAGTGTAAACGTATATACAAATTAAAAAAAAAAATCATACACCTGTAATAAATAGAAAACAATGCAAATCAGGTTTTAGAAGAAGGTATCGGGTGACAAGGAAAGTATCTGAGTTGACCCAAAGTACCATGGAGGCCAAGAAAGGTCCATTAATGATAGTCTCCAGTTAATAATAAAACATCAACTAAAAGCCTTAGATGTATGTTGTGTATGGAAGAATGAATTCAAACTAACCTTATTGATAGCAATAGTAAAAGCTGGTTCCACATTTGCTTCCATGTCCTCTTGTCTGTGGTAACAGAAGAGGTTTGTCCCTTTCAGGACACCGTACACCTTTGTCCAGCTCTGATGGTCCCCTCCTAGCGGCTGGTAGAGGTAAGCAGAAAGGCAGGCAGTGGAGAGTGAGCGGTTTCTCAGTTAGCATAGCTACGCAGATCTGACCTGTACTGCTCCACTGCTCCCCGTTACCTTGACCTTCAGGTAGCCGCTCATCATCTGCTCTGTCATGCAGTACGGCTGAGCAGCCAGGCGACAGCACATGCTGCCATAGAGCGGCAGCCAGTATGTGCACTCCTCTGCAGCACAGAGAGAGCGACGGGACAGGAGATAGAAATGAAAAAGCAAGAACGCTTCATGTAAAATATTCCATTATGGTGTGATCTATTGCAAAAAAAATAAAAATAAAGTTAGATACCTCTTTACAACAAGGCTCTGTTTTGCCACTTATAAATGGTAGTAATTCATTAACAATAAATACAATGCTGTGGCAGGCAGTGGAAACAAATCTATCATTACTATACATTAATGACAAGTTGGATTAAAAAAAACAGATCTCGGGTAAACTGTTTGACAGTGACCTTAACATAAGGTGCCAAACTATGACGCAAAGAAATGAAGGCGCAGCAAGTGGCATAAGAAACGTTAGATGATATTGTTAGACATTTTGGATTAGATGTTTATTCCATTACATTCTTGCACCCAAAAAAAGGATGCAGGAACGGAGAAAGTAGGGAAGTTGAGGAGAAGTTGAAGAGGAGAAAAGTGACTCACCATTCCCAGAGATGGAGAGGTCATGTGTGCGGAAGCTGTCCTGCACGTGTGCCAGTGTGAGCGAGGTGTGAGCCAGGACATTATACTTTGGTCCCCTGGACACAAAAACCAGCTTGAGTGAGAGGCTGTTCTGCAGGGGTCTATCATGCAGTGCTAGTCTTTTAATTACATGCACAGTCGTATTCTAACAGCTTTCAGTGGTTTCCACCAGCTACATCCAAAGGATTGTTGAACATATGGGCTTATTGCCACCCCAGAAGTGCCAGTCACTTACGGGACGGCGGGCATGGGTAACAGGATGGTGGCCGCTCCTCCATTGGTCGCCGGATTGCAGATGCTGGGCTCCATCGCTGCCCGCATCTTCTTCCCCGTGGAGCGACCCAGAGAACTGCTGAGCTTGCTGGCCAGCTTGCGTGGAGTGCTGCAGGTCAAGAATTCGTCCTCCGTGCAGCAGCTGTAGAGCTCCACCCGCAGCTCAAACTCGGGGCTGGCTTCGTTGCTGCACAGTACACACCAGCGCACACATGACTAAAAACACGGTACAAACGGCAGCGGCCTTTAAATGCTGCACATTGCTGGAGAACTCAGGGAAAGAGGGGAAACTGAGCGAAAGTGAATAAGGCAGGTATGCATTTTTGGCATAGAAAAGACGACTTGTACTCACAAAACGATGGTATTGTCGAAGCAGATGTCTGTCAGTGTGCGGTCCACCGTGACCATGTCTGTATCATAGATCTCTCCATCCAGCTGCAGCAGGCAGAATACCGCACAACGATGCAGCTCTGAACGGAACAGGAAGATGACGTATGGATGAGGCTGACAGATTCTTAAATTAAGAGGCCATTTGCGGAGATTTCGCGGTACACTCATGCGTCGCTTAACGACGGAGTTGNTAGGGAAGCACAAAAAATTATTAATATTGTTTTTTTGCATTATCTAATACAAATCACTGTTCTGAGAGAGCACTGTGCTGTGCTTCTGTAAATGATTCTCAGCAACACTTAAGCAGTCATAGAATGCAGCATCAGTAAGGCCATGATAGTTGCTGGCATGTAGTGGGACTGAAACCGCTGAAATGCTAAAGACAATAATGTAAAGATAACGCTCTGTAGTTTGGTTTGGTTTGGTGTAAAGAGAAAAAAGACCCATCTGACCAGAGGGAGGCCACAGGAAAATGAAAAGACATTTTTTCAGGGAGCAGTCGATTTATTGCAGGCATAGTGAAAAACATTTACACCGTTTGAAACTTTGCACCGGCTCTGCAAGCAAAAATCACGCATTTCTCCCCCTATCTTTGTTACTTACATGCCCAAAACACTTTGTACTTTTTCATTTTCTTTCCTCTTGAGCTACACTTACAGTACTTGCATGCCTGCAAACCAGATTAACCAAAAGGCTCAGATCCATCTACAAAGACATCTCTGATTTTACATTCCCAAAACTTGTGTTACGAATTTCTATTTCCAGTGAAATGGAAGGGCACCATATGAAAGCATTTTCTCACCTAGAAAGGTCTACATTGAATGAAAAACTTAACTATTTGGAACATATCAAGAAATATGCAGCAGATTTAAAACCCAAAATGCAAGTCAGCCATGTTTAACATGCTCAACAGCATAAAGTCATACAAGGAAAATCAGTATTACAAGTATTACTGCAATAACAATGGAAAGATATAATACTGTAGCTGTTTTAAATTTGATTCTGGAACAGGCTGAAAATGATGTTATGAATTTTAGCTACTCTTTATTTGCAATATATAGTATATAATTTAAACTTGTTTCTCACGCATTCTTACTCTCTGGTCCTGTAGAAAATGTAAAATACAGTAACAGAATGTGGCATATATTGTAGGTTAATTTTGATAATTAATGTATCACTTAGTTTCTTAGCACACTGGCGTTTGTCTGCTATTCATTGAATCTTGCGAACCTGCCATGTTGTGTATTTGCATTGCTGTTCCATTGGTGGTGATGAACTTGTCTCCTCCTAGTTATTGACACCTCAGGTGACATTGGGATGGTGACGGATATCTTGGCAAGGCGCCGCCAGTCGCTTCACCAGAGGACACAGTTGAGGGCGGCCCCTCACTGGATGTGTGTTTTTGAGGATCCTGCAGGTCATCATTCACCCCAGCGCCTGACTCAGCTCCGCAGCACCTCTGCTTGCCGTGGCTCGCTGTGGGACAGCGCCGGGCCCCGCACTGCCGGCCCCCGCACTGCCGGCCCCTCCTCCCCGCGCAGTTTGTCTGAACCCCTGGGTCGCTTTCGCTCCCGTACCTTTTCTCTGGACACCTGGCTCAGCAGCCGGAGCAGCCACACCTATAACGGAGGGCTGAGATGTGCATTGCAGCCATCCCTCTGCCCTTCCTCATCCCTCTGCCCTTCCTCATCCCTCACTCCTCAGACGGCCGTGTTCTGCTCCGCTTCCACCTCCAGCAGCAGCTCTAGTGAAGGAAGCTACAGTCTTGATTTCGAAGGTGACTCCATCTTTCGGCTCACGTCAGCCCGCCATAGCCTGAGGAACCTGCGTGCTAAACTGGACCCCCGGAATTGGCTACAGAGTCACATTTAGTACCCCCACCCTCAGTCAAAGCACACTGCTCATATGGATAATCTGCCTGGATGTAACTGGAACCGTGCTCCTAAGTCCTACAATGCAAAAAAAAACTGACACTTGGAGTTCCTGTGTTTTGTTCTTCAAGGGAGTTATGATAGAATTAAATGATCAAGTCATGGTTTGGTGTTCGAATGCATGAAACTTTTAAAATATTTAAATTCAATATCTGAAAAACCTGACAAGAAAATGATAACTGTCTAGCATGTAAAGATAATGAAAGCACTGCATTAATCACTGAGGAAGTAGAATAGTATTATTCCATTTAAAAGATCAGGTAATTTTCCATTGACAGCTTGCTTGCACAAAATTTGCTCTTTACATAGCTTTTTAAGCAACATTCAGAAACTGTCACATATTAGTACATTCGGATATTCATGTATCTCTTCTTTTGTACGTAACATTGGGTGGTGCTGTGCTTTTCCGGATGTATCTGGGACATAAGTGAATGTTTAATCACAACTTAGGCACTTGAAATGATAACTGATCTAAGAATCACCATTACATTAATGTTTATTTGTCTCAGTAATGTCGTCATGGATACTGTATAGCACAGGATCTCTATATACCTCTTTATCTCTTCAAATAGCTTGCTTTCTCACTCTCTCTAAGAAACTAAGTACCCAGGGAGTTTTTTTGCAGGAAAACAATGCAATATTTTTGTCATCTAGTTCTAGTAAATACAACTCTGGAAAAAATTAAGACACCACAGCATTTTTTTTGTTTTACTCATTTATAGGTGTGTGTCTGTGAATAATACATATATTTTGCAAACTGCAGCCTGGTTCTTCTCTGTTTCTCATTAATGAAGGACTCCCGTCATACTTTCTGAGACTTCTCTCTTGCTTTTAGGAGCCTCATACAAACTCTCCTAGCAGTGCACGTCACACCTGCACTTAATGTTTCCCATTCCTTTTGAAGGTCACTTGATGTCATCTAGCGATTCATGAGAAACCGTCGAATAAGTTAACAGTCATCTCTGGCATTAGAATGTCACTTCCGCCCTCTACCTGACTGGTTTCTGGTCATTCCCAGTGTCTCCTGCTTCACATTATTCTTGTGTACTGGTGTCTTAGAAATTTTGAACCTGGAAGCAACCTTCTGCTCAGCATAGCCTTCTGCCAGCAGAACCAAGATTTAAAAATGCAGATCAAAACAAATATAATGTGGTCTCTTAATTTTTTCTAGAGCTATATATAGAATTGAAAATATGTGGTTAAATTACATGGGAAAATAAGAAGAGCAGAAAGGAGCTATCAACAAGTATTCAACCGTTTCCTCTGAAAAAAATAACAGAATGAGACAGATAAAACTAAAGTCAACGAAACTTTTTTTTTTAATAATAGTGCTGGTGAGTCAGTATTTCATTTTGTTAAAAATAGTGGAGTAAGCACTGCTTCCTAATGGAAAACTTTATCATGTGATATATTGCAAGCCTGGTAGAATACCATCATTAAAAATTCTGAATAGTGCATAATGGCTTGTCTTGCTCCACAATGTAGTCAATTGCAGGGACAATGTGTAGAATGTTACTTGTAGGGAAAACCACCCACAAATTCAACAGCAGAATCCAACGTTCAAGCGTCAGATATTTCAGTAGGTCTGTCTGTGTTTTCTATAAAAGTTCAAGTTAAATTGAATGAAATCTGACTCCAGATTATTTTTATTTGTGTATTAGTTTATGGTACTTAGATATCACTGTGTAATTTATAGGTTGACTCTGAATCCTTTTTAAAAAAAATAAATAAACTCGTTCGTTTCACTTTTAGCTCTTTAAGGGACGTACAGAAATGCAATGTAAAACTAGTTTGATCTTGGTTCAGGGACTGTAGAGCAGAAAGGTACAATAATCACTTCACCTCAGGGACTGACGTAGCTCAGTGTGTCTGATTGATTCAGCTCGTAGGCTGCTAAGGGGTTTAGCACATTTGATCAATTTAGCTCAGGGAATGATATAGGTCAGTGTGTCTGATTGACGAAACTCACATGTGTGAAATTGGTCTATATTAATGTAGCCACTCAGCTCCAGTTTAAACCAACCCAAATGAATATTTAGAACTTCATTAGATGATAATGCCCCATGCTTTTATGCTAGTGCTCTAGTGTGTATTAATGCTGAGAGAAAGAAAGAAAAGCGAGAATTTATCAAAACAATTACCTTTGCAGAAATATCAGTTACAATTTAAAGCAAAGAACGGGCAAATATTTGAAGTGGCCAAATGCACGGCTATTTTGTCGACCCCAATATGTGACAGACCAAGTGAAAGTCCAATTGAAAGAGTCCCAAAGATCAAGTGTAAGACTTATTTCCAGGCAAGATATCCAGCCATCTCTCTTCCAGCTACCATCAATTACGATCAGCCAGAAGGTCCATTGGAAAATTAATTTTGATTCTTTCTAAATAAAAAGGGACAGAGCCTTCTAGCAAGGCGAGATCTGCATGGCTTTCAGTATCTTTTTAATGAGATACTATTTCAAATTGAGAGAATACATGTTAAATGAAACATCAATAAGTAGACCACATACAGACATACAACACAGTTCTTCAGCATTCTGTGTTGGTCTGAAAAGCCAATCTAGGAAAAAAGGCAAGAGAAGAGTGAGGAAGGAATGATCATAAAGTCACTCAGTGGGAGTTGTAGTGGGTCAGGTAGACATATCAGGGTAACCTCGTGAGTCCAATCTCATTGAAAATTTGGAGGTGAAATATGAGGCAGCCTGAGGGTATCAAGGCTTAAAGACTCCTGTCAGTGCCGTCTCATTTTCACAGGATCATGCCAGAACCAGCAACCTTACCTGTTCAACAAGTACTCATGCATTGTCAAGCTATTTATGATTGTTAAAAACTAGATAGTCACATATCCTAATATGAGGTTCTGACTAATGCAGCGATCAATGTAAGAAAAAAACTCAGAACTGACAAGTCATTGAATGCAGTATTTAAATTTGGTTTAATTGCACTGGTCCGATTAATCAGCCTACTCCAGCCATGCATTCATTTATCATGCAGCTACATACTTGATTTTTTTATGTGATACTGTACAGGCAATTACTTTATAATAGTTCCCTGACTTACTCCCTTAAAGTACGGTATGTAGAGAGAAGCGTTGCTATATATTGTATAAAATATGTATACCTGTTTACATTTTTAGTTTACATGATGTCTATACAAATAAGTCAAGCATAACCTACTTCAAATGTCACAATAACAGTACGTTTGCAGCTATCATTCTTTATTTTCTGTTAAATTTCCTTTTTCTTTGTGATGTGTAGCGTTCTTTGATGATGGAGCCGACAAAGCGATAGTCTTTTGTCGAGGGCTTTAAGATAAGCTTAGCATCCAAGTTTCTATACTGTTAGAAATAAATTATGTTCGTTGAGGTCAGATCTCTTCACTTTGCTTTGTTGTTCTCTTCGACATGAATTGTATTTTGGGTATAATGGATAATATTATTTTCACAGAAACATGCAGGTTTGACTTGATGTATTCCTGAAAGAGCTAACTTTGCATTAGATGGAGATCTGTATGATAGGTAGAAAGAGGAAATTGACTTTTCAGAATAATTATAATGAATATAATATTATTATTTGGTCTGGCTGTTATTTCAGTCCTATGTACATTAACACTAGAATTAAAATAATGTTAATGTTTGTTTTTAAAAAAGAAACTACACCATTCAAGGTTTTTTGAGGTCTAATTACTTGCGCTCTCTTTCTTGAATAATCCAGGTTTTCAGTTTTCATATTGTTTGTATTTTCGTTAAAATTTGAACAGCTGCATGTGACATGGATGGGAGGAGAAACATCATATGCGGGTTTCGTTTTAGCAAACCCAGGAAGAGGAGCAGACGGCTGCTTTGGCTCTGGCAGAATGGCCACAGGTGGGGAAACAAAGGAGGCAGCAGTGTCTGATGTGTGTGCAGATAGACAAAACACACATTTATCGTGTGTTGATGTGGCTGTTCACCTAACACCTGCCGCACTGGGACATCCAGTCGCCCTGTCCACAGTGTATTAATGGAGGTTTCTTTAAGATACTGGGTGAAGCAATGTCTCACAAAAAAGGAAAAAAAAACATAACATATAAATAATGTGTTTTAATGGCAATGTATTTTCACGACAACCTTTTCCATGTGGAAAAAATGTGACTCCTCAAAAAAAGTCTGATGAAGTATTGTGCAAAACAACACCACCCTTACATCGATGAAAGGAACTTCAGTGAAGTGAAACATTTCCTGCCTCACTAAGTTAATAGAGAATGTATCTATCACCATGATTTGATTGGACTGGTTAGTTATGGATCATGATGTGGTTTTAATCCCACCCAGTGAAGCAGCAGCTCTCCTAGTAGCCCATGTATAAAAAGGTTAGTACACAGCACCCTGTTGTCATCGGACCACTCAGTAGGTTTCACCGTGAGTTACCATGAACACCCCACATATGACAAGCTAAAAAAAGCTAAAAGCTGTAGTTTAATAGGATAAGACCAACTCGACATAACTTAAATTTTACTTGTAAAAATGATGTCTTTCTATTAAAGAAAAATCAATTTCTACTAGTAAGAATACAATATCCGGATATCTATAAATCTGTTTTAACTAGTATGAATCATTTTTACTAGCAATAACTCTATTGTTACTTCTAAAAATTCATATAGATATTTATAACTCAATTTTTACTATTAATAGACAGTATTTCCATTGACCTCCATTGAATTATTGCCTCCTTTATCCAAAATTCATTTTTTACTAGTAAAAAGTCACATTGTACATATATAGATTTTAATTTTGACTAGTAAAAATTCAAGGTCCACATATCCATAATTCAATTTTTACTATGAGAAATATCATTGATGTCTGCGATTGAGTTACTAGTAGAAATTCACATTGATGATATGTGTTTTTACAGACCTCTAAAGTATAATTGCAGATGTCTGCATGACATTTTTGCTAGTAAAAACTGAATAATGGATATGTGGACCTGGATTTTTGACTAGTCAAAATTAAAAGTTATCTGCAATATGAGGTTTTACAAGTGAAAATTGACATATGTACAATATGACTTCTTACTAGTAAAAATGATTATTCATAGTTAAAATTTATGCATAGATATCTGGTATTCATATTCTTACTAGTAAAAAATTAAATTTTACTAATTTGAATGTTATTTTACTGGTAAAAATCAAGTTATAATGACTAAGCCTTAGACTATTAAAAGATAATTTGGCTTGCACACCCCATAGGACTTGCCATTTTGGATAGTCTCTGACCCATTTGTCTGGCCATAATGAATTGGTTGTAGTCATAGTCATTCAGATCTTGATCCTTGCTTATTTCTTCTGCATTGTACAGTACATGTGGACTACGAGCACTGAATGATAGCTGTACCGTCTGATATATCCCAGACCTTGACATGCATGGTATTTACCAAATAGTCAATATTACTTGTTTCACATGAAGGTGGTCATGATGTTTCTGGCCCATAGGTGTATGTCAATAAATCGCACCTCATTGTAAGCATGTTGCAATTAAATGTACTAATATACATTGTCAACATGTATTGAAGCTCAAAATTTCACTTCACTGATTACCCAAATGTGTTACTCATTATCCAGATATGGGCACTGTGAAATAGTGGTTGATTTTACAGTGGATTATCAATGAAAGTACCAGTAATCATTTATAGCTGGAGACGCTGAATCGCTATACAACAGTTTATTTTGTGTTCGTTTCACACATTATCAAGAAAACAACACATTTTATGTAAGAGCAGTGAAGTAAATGGTTTGGAGAAAAGAAAAAGTTTACAGTGTTGAGATTCTGCAAATTTTTATCTACATGTTGTTCAATTTCAAGATGTACCGTACTGGTATCCATAAATGTAGTAGAAAACATCTTTGAAACGTAATCACTATAAAGTAAAAAAAACTATTTTTTACTATTTTTTTTTATTTTATCACTCAAGGTACTTCTCAGCTCTTACTAAATTGAGTGTTGATTGTAATCAATCGATTTCAGCACAGAATAAGAATATGATGAATTTATGTATAATAATGTTGTCTGCAAAAGAAGGAAAGGTTGCGTATAATTGCTAGCATTTATTACTGAGGAACCCGCAAGGATTCCTAGAGCTGGCAAGCATCTCAAAATTGGATGAGAACCAAGAAGGTGGTATTATTAGCATATTTTTGCTAGAATATCAAGTGTACATTTTCTCAAAAAAATAATGAAATACTATGGATATTATTTGCTGCATGAAAGTGAATGGGGGAATTGTGCGGGTTCATGGGCTGAGGGTGACAACACATTAAAGAGATTCACAGTATAAATCATCGGCCACCAAAGGAAAATGGAAGGCACCTGTTCACTTTTTACATTTTTTGACAAAAAAAAAACGTAAATGATATACTGGAACTTACAAGAGTATGATGAATAATGAGCTGTACTGAATTTGATTTTACTGTTACAATGGTACATCTATGAAATATTTTGGGAGGTACAATATGAGATTCGACGAGCAAATAAAACGAGAACATGGTGTTACTTTTGTGCCTCATTCTAGTGACAAAGTCTACTGATGAGAATATAACATCCATATCTTTAAAGCAACCCATAATAATTCCATTTACTTCATTAAAATACAGGAGACCCATAATGCTGAAATCCGACAAAACATTAGCAATATATAATGTTAAATCTACAACCATATTAGCTGAAAATGTGTATTGCAGTGCATCAATTAGTCATAAACCATGTTACTGCATTAAGTTATTAGAAGTGATCTTATCTTGCCTTAATGTTTTTTTTTTATTTAGATTTATACACTGTATGGTCAAAAGTATGTGGACACCCCTATTAATTAGAGGAATGGTCTAATTAACCACACCCAGCACTACCACAGATGCATAATTAAGCACACATTTATGCAACCTCTGGCAACAAAGATTAGCAGCATAATGGGTAGTTGTACATAGTGAATTTCCACATGGCACCATCATCAGATGCCATCTTTCCAACGTCAGTTTGCCACATTTCTGCTCCAATAGATCTGTCCTGATCAATCGCAAGTGAAGTGATTGTGAAGGTCAAAAACCTGTCACAGCAAGTTCAATTGCAAAGTGGTTCCCACACAAACTCGCAGAAAGGGACCATATAACCCAACCTCCATGGCAGCAAATCCCGCCAGCAAAATTTCAAAAACTAATGGAAAGCCTTCCCAGAAGTGTACAGGTGGGATCTTGGTCTTCAGTGTACTAAACAAAGAATTAACTACTGATTGTTTTTAATGATAAATGAAAGTTCAACACTACTGAAAATGGAATCATCCGTGCAGGTCTTATATAATAAGAAACTTGGTGTTTTCTCTTCATTCTCCTTACAACTGTTTTTTTTTTTATTTTTTCTATCAGACAGCTTAAGGACAAGCTGGTGTCCACATACTTTTCACCATATTGTGTAACTGGAAAAGTTTACTACTAAACGTAGTATCTCTGTTGAATACCATTTGAATTGTAGTCACAGAGCATATACAAATACAGAATAAAAACCAAAAGGATTAAGCACACTGTCATACAGTGGGTTTTTATAAAGTTATACGTTTGGGTCTAAATGTGCTATACTGTAACATTAGGCAAAGTTAAGCCTAATTTAATATAGTGCTTTAAGGGAATGTGTTTGATTCTTGTATGAGCAAAATTCTTATCTACATCTGAGAAATAGATTTACATTTTCAGGCAGAACAGTCAAAGAATTACAAATTTTTTTTTTAAATGGCCCTAACAATGAAGAAAAAGAGGGAAAAAACAAAAAGGAAAAACCATCAAAGGATAAATGGAACAAAAAACATCATACAAGAGAACATCGGAAATAAATCTTTCTTGCCAATGGAATGTATCATGAAGTCTAAAATGAATGTGCATTAATTCCTTAAAGTAGTTCAGGTTATTATAACAAAAGCAAAATATGTATTTTCTATGCATGAATGACTTTAATACCCTGCAAGTCAAGTAGATTAAAACTGCCAAGATCTTAGACCCAGTACTACAGCACAGTGTTAAGATCGCATGTTCTTCTTTAGAAACATCGCTCAATTCAAGACAGGAAACCAGTAATGACCCAGTATCACATATTCCTCATGGTAATGATATTTCCAGTAGTGAGAACTTGCAACATTGCTTATTTTTGTGAGATGGAGTCCTGGTCTTTAGACTCTAGTGTTAGCGTACTAAGCAAGGGATTAACTACTGATTGTTTATAATGATAAATGAAAGTACAACACTACTGAAAAAGGAATCATCCTTGCAGGTCTCATGTAATAAGAAACTGGGTGCATTTTCCTAATTCTCCTTACAACAGGTTTTTATGTTTTCAGAGAGCCTTATAGATTTTGGTTGATGAGACTTCTGGCTTACTTTCTGAAACAAACATTTTGTAGGGCTCTAGACAAATTACTCTTGTGCTGTTGTTATCACTGGAACACAACCACAGTGCTACACATGCTACCGCAATAAAATTCCCAATCCCTGAGGGAACGTGCACATTTGTATGGGAAAATGTGCTTATACATGTCTGTCTGTATGGCTGTCTCTGCAGATGTTGACCGGTCCTTAGATGGTCTCCACATAGTTGGCGGGGAAGAGCCCCTGGCGGCCATCTTTGCTGCATCCCCTCCACCAGGACTTGTCCACAGTTTCGACGGCACTGATGATGTCACCAGGCTCCAGAGAAAGCTCTGTTTCATCCTCTGTGAAAATTGGATATAACGTGGTTGAGAACATGGCCTACTGTATAAGCCTGAGCAGTAACTAGCAGCATACTGCTTCCAGAATAATCTGCTGGATTCCATACTGCACTATTCCATCTGAAGTAAAACCTGTTGCCCGACTCATGGCCAAACATGAGACTCAAAGCAGAATAACAGAGCAGAATTAAATTCATATCAATCATATCAATGAAAGTCCTTCAACATAAAGCATGATCAGAGGTGGATAGTTCGGCTCCAGAAAGGAACACTCCAGACCAAGATTTTGTTTCAACCAACCAGTTGAGCATAAAGAGTCAGTCATAGAGTACTCAACTGCTTAGTTGAAACAAATTCTTAGTCAGGATTTTTACTTTCTGGACTTGAACTATCTGTCTCTGAGTATCAGTAATAATCTATGAGTTACAATTATACCTCTAACAGTAGAAAGAATCATATGAGTTCTGAATAATTGCTGTTAACCTGTTATTAATGCCTTATTCGTACCACTTCTAGTTTGAATACAAATTTTCCATTATATGACAACTGAAATTAGAGGTTTTTCCTGTACCTCCATGAAGGAATCATTATAATCAATATCATAATCAATAAATCCTTATCCACCTGTATGATATTAATTTAGTAAAGGATAAGATCGAAGTCTCAAGTCTGTCAAATTGGGTTATAAATGCTGTTATTACAAAACTTAGGGACTGGAAATACACACAAATACTTGCTAGAATGAACAGTGTTTTCTCTGATATTGCTGTAACATCGTCCCTCAAGTACATTTATAAAAACCAGCTGTGTTGTAGCATCTACACTTGAGACAGAAAAATCAGCTAGCATGTTGAATAATAGGTGGTAACTTCAAAAATTCAGTGAGTAACGTGTGTCAGTTTTCATGACATACTTGTGAACATATGAAGTATTGATGCTATGCATTCATACCTTTATTATGATCCGTATCACTATGTATCATTTAACCTTGTGATGTAGTATAATTGTGCATTCACCATACTGAAAAAGCTAATAAATAAATAATTTGATATACAGACCTGCTTGATAGTCATAGAGTGCCCGCACGCACATTTGTCCATGTGGTGAGGACTACAGCAGTGGGAAAAAGAGAGCAATACGGTGAGCAATATTATCCCAGCAGTTTACTGAACCATGTATATTATCAATATACGAATAGGAATGTATTGTATCCATTATAAATAGTAAAGCATGATAGAACAATTGCTTGATTGTTGACATTTTTTTTAATTCAAATTCAGATTAAAATCTTGAAAACATATTACTACAATAAAACTCATTTCATATAAAAAGAACTGGTACCAAGTCCACAGCTTGTATGGTTTTCACTTACTGTGAAAGTTAACTTAAAAAATAGCGAATTAAAGAAAATCAATGATGAGTTCAGTGACATCTGGCCCACAAGGTTGAAAATTGCCCACTCTGCTGTAATGTTTATCACCTTTTCATACTCAATCATCTCCTCTGTGGAATCATCTTCGCTCCCGTCACGCCTTATGGCATAGGAAATCATTTCTAATTCCTGGGAAATTTCATGCAAATTTTTCTCCATTCCAGTTGGACTGAGGGATAGGTCTGTGTGAAGGAAATATAATATGCAAAATGTGATTTGAAAGCATAGTACCAGCAAACATTCAAAGTGTGGATGCTTTTACATAACTACCTGTGCCATCGTCTTCTTCTGTTAACCCATTTTCTGTTTGGCCCCAATTTTCATCAGTCATTCCTTTAGCTTGCAGGACTTCAACTTCCTGCAGCATGGTCAGCCGAGCATCATCTGCACCCATAATCTCTTCTATGACAGAAGATTATGCCAGAATTGTTAGACACTTAGCACTTTCCCTCCACCCACCCAAGAATTTGCTCCTTCTACCTGGTATGATGGGTTCCAGTTGTGGATCATGGACAGCCTCATGCTCTTCCTCCACCTCTCTTCGCTCAAAATAGACTGGCTCCTCAGATATGGTGGAAAGATGCATTACCGTAGCAGTTTGAATCATCTCTTCATCTTCTACCCTCTCCCCTCCAATCTTTATCGGCTCTGTCCAGCTCTGTTCTTCTAATAGCTTGGTTTCTGTCTCAGAAGCCTCTCTGGGTGTGACGTCCAAAGCAGGGACCAGATATTCCACACGCTGCCTGGATTCTGTGCTGTTGTATACAGGATCCTGTATAAGGCTGGTTTTCTCTTCCATATTAGAGTCTTCTTGCATGTTGACTGCTGTCGATTCCAGGTTTGTGAGTAAAGAGATGCCTGAAGAGACACTCTCTTCATTTTCTAAAGCATAGGTATGATTCTCCAACAAATCATTAAGTTCCATGGATGCCTCTAGTTCCAAGGAACCAGCTTCCCCTTCCGTATCTTCCTTGGTCATTGGTGTGATGTGCATGTTGTCCTTTGCTGCCATGTCTGAATCTGTTTCTGCTTCTAGGTCAGTCAGTGTTCTGTAGGCTGTATGCATCACTGGACAAAAAATACAGAAGAGGCACAAATAAGCCATCATTCATCATCACTTCACAGAGGAATTTTATTTTTCAAAATATAAATGTGCATTGATATTCTATATACTGTATGATTCAGCATTGTAGTCTTTCAGGTCTCTATAGTTACTGAGTTTTACCTTCTGGATGCAAGTGGATGGCCATTGGGGGGGAATCATTTTGATCCTCGGCCAGAGCTATGGCACCCAGAGATCCTGGAGTAGAGCAAGGATCAGGATGAGACCGATACAAGCTGGTAAGAAGGTCTGGTGAGGCTGATGGTGCCGAAGGCCGGGCAGAGGAGGTGGAGAAACTGGGTGATGACGGTACTCCAGAAGGCTGCCCTGAGTCTTCAGCTTTGACCAAGACTGGGGAATGTGGTAATGGGGACTGGGACGTGACAGTTTTAGAAGCAGGAAGGCTGGGGAGACTGGAAGTCGGGCATGAGCGTTGAGGGGAGATGGGCGGGGACAACAGAGGGGCACGGCGTTGTGGAGGAGAGTTTATGGGACGGAAGCTGGTATCTGGCTGGCTTGGGCTTGTGGGTGACATGGGTTGGTTGAAGGGGGATTTCGGAGTACGGCTGAATGGAGAGAACGCATTAGGGCTGCGGGGGGAAGAGGGCAACGAGGAATCTGACTTCCCAAAGATAAAAGCTGTATCAGTGAGGCTGCGCTGGTAACGACGGAAAGGAGGCTTGGCTGCCAAGAGAAAAAAGAGAGAGAGACAAGGGTAAAAGATTATTTTGATAGCTTTTTTAGACATACACCCTCTTCTCGTTTAACAAGGTCCATTCCAACGACCAGGTCGTTATGTGAAATGGAGCACAGTAACTGCCAAGGTCACTGGTTGCTGCTCTCATTCAGATCAAGTTCTCGTAGAGTTACGCCAGCGTCAAATGTGTGTCAGAAATAAATTTTTTGGTCACTAACCAAGGTAGTTGCCAAACAAGGAAAGGGTGCATATGATATGAAATCACATATACAAATTATAATGATAATGCAAAATAACACAAATGATTTGGTTAAAATGGCAATGGCATTGGCAATGGTAATGGCAACTTTATTTATAACGCACTTTACACACAACAAAGTGTATGATGCTTAATCCTGCTAAACATAGAGTCCTCCCTCAGTAGAGACCTGAATTACAAAGGTAAATACTGATGAGCAGGAATGGTTAAGTGTAAAAGGAGTGTCTTCTAAATACGCAAATGACTACTGTAACAGTTTGTTATATTTTGACCAGCCCATATTGGCACCCAATTCCCCTTGAGCGCTTTAGCGCCCTTAGTCTCACTAACCTGTACGGGGGGAGTCAGGGCTTGGTGGGATACCAGAAGACGATGAAGAGAGCTGTCTGAAAAATTCTCGAGGGTTCATGGAGCGCTGAGAAACAAGCACCGCTGCCTCCTGCAGGTCAGGGATGTCATATCAATGTGGAATTTCACATACGCATCACTATAAGAATTAAGTGAAAGGCTGTAAAACAACCGAATGATCCGGCAGTATATAAAGTTAATAAAATGCATGGCTGCAATATGCACTATTCATGAGTGAAAGGGGGACTGACCGCAGCCTTTTCGATGGATTCACTGCGTCTGAAGCGTACTCTCATGTCTTCCTCATGCTCTCTCTGTTGCTGCTCCTGGAGAGACACACATGGTTGAAAAATGGCACAACTCTACTGCTCTCTGACATCCTAACATCAACGGCACCCCAGAGTCATTCATACACACTCCTCTCTACAGCATTCATTGAGTATACAATGGGGACTTACCATGTTAATAACAAAGTTATTTCCATCTCAATTGCTTTGCCAGTCAGGTCACAGCTATGTCACCCCTGTGGGAATTACTGTCTACCCATGCCCACCTGCAATGCACATTCCATCCACCACGTGTCGCCCTTGCTTACCCATCTGGTCTTCTCCTGCTTTCGAATCTCTGTCTCCAGTTTTCCTTGCATTTTCCTGAATGACAGAGAAACAAAGCAACCACTGTTATATCTAACACTGCCTATATAAAACAAACTCTTTATATGCAAATATGAACTTATCTGGAAAGGGCTGCACTTAAGATGAGTTCAGGCATGTAGGACTAGTTATTCTTTGTAATAGGGGTTCCCAATTTTTTTGGCGACCACAGACCGGTTTACGTTGTGCAAAAATTTCATGGACCGGTAAAACTTGGGGGTGGATCTGCAAGCCAGATTTGATAGTCCTCTCCATTTTTATCAGATGCCGTCTGACTGTGAGAACATCAGGAATTGTTAAAAAAAAGACTTGACTTAAAACTTTATTATTATTTATTATTTTTGGAAATTAATCAACCTCTGCCCCACATCCCTCAGCTCTGTGTGGCCCAGTGGAGTACTGGAGTCAGGGTTGGGATCTCCTGTTTAGTAAGATAGGAGTATGTTTGTGTATCAGAGCGATAAACTCAGGGCTTGTACAGTACTGTGAAACAGGGAGTCAAATAATATGATGTTAAATGATCTTCATGCTGATATTATTTTTGTCAATGTGTGTCAGCTGAGCCATTTCAAAACCTCTCCTATAGAGTCAGCCCAGTATTTGCAGCAACCATCCAATACACCCATATATTTCTTGGCTTGACCACTAGTGCATACCATGTTTTGCTAATCAATGCCTCATTTAGTTATTTACCTAATGAAGTTAATTGATGAAGATAACTGGTGGTGAAATGTAACAAATACAGTCGAACCTCAGTACAACGTACCCCGTTTATAACGTTTACACCAATACAA